TTATAGAGGGTCCAGGTTCAGTTACCAGTACCCACATAGTGATTCACAATTATCTTTAAGTTCAATTAGAGGATCCCAACACAATGTTCACAGGATCAAGTATGTATGTAGTACACATACAAACACTCAGAAATAAATAATCATAAAAAAATTTTGGAGGTAAATTCAAGTCAGCAAGATGGCTCCATGAGTAAAGATGCTTACTGTAAAAGCCCAGTGACCTAAGTTCAATTCCTCCATATCTCACATAAAGCAACTCCAAAAAGTTGTTCTCGGATCACCACACCCACCCATGACCCAAACATACACATCACACATACTTGCAGACAAACACACATACACAGTATTTTCTTTTTTGAGAGTCTTACTATGTAACCAGGCTGGCCTTGAACTCACAAAGATCTATCTTGTGCTGAGAGACTAGGCCAAGACCTACATTTAAAAAAAAAAAAAAAAAAAAGGAAAAGGCCGGGCAGTGTACATCTTTAATCCCAGCACTCCAAAACTAGAGGCAGGAAGACAGGAATTCAAGGTCGTCCTCAAGTAGTTCACAACAACCTCAGTTACAGGAAACCATGTCTCCAAAGCTGGGGCTGAGGGGAGGGGAGGGGGTGCTGCTAAATGGTATGATGATTTGTCACCAAGCTAAGACCCTGTTTTCATGCTAAGCACTAAAAAAAAAAGGGGGGAGGGGGCTGAAACTACTGACATAAGCAACCCCAAAAACAAAGATGTGCATGTGCAGAGAAGGTCCTTCTTGGTTGTATGCAACTTTAATCCCTGAAAGGCAAAGAGACAAAAGTGGTTCACATAGCAAATTCCAGTGTATCAAGGACAAAAAGGGAAGACCCTGTCTCAACAATAACAAAAAAAGACATGCAAAGAAGATTAAAAAAAATGTAAATGTCAAAAAGTTACATACTGATACTGTGTAACTTTGTTTATTAACATTCTCAAAGTCCATTGTTGCTACCCCTTCCCCATACAGACAGAAACCCAAAACAAAGCCATATGGCTATGGCTACACTACCTTGTATAAAAGGACCATAAATCAGGATGGGTGAGGCCCTAGGTCCTATCTCTAGCACCAAAACATTAAAACTAGGGGGGGAGGGCCTCTTGTTTTGTGGTTTAAGATTTATTTCTTATGTATGAATATATGCCTGCAGGTCAGAAGAGGGTATCAGATCTCATTACAGATAGTTGTAAACCATCAAGTGGTTGCTGGGAACTGAACTCATGACCTCTAGAAGCACTTACAATACTCTTAACCACTGAGCCATCTCTCCAGCCCTCCATGCTACCTAGGATGCCCATACAGTCCAGGTGGTGGTGGAGCACACCTTTGATCCCATTACTCAGGAGGCAGAGGCAGGCAGATAGTTCAAGGCCAAACTGGTCCATAGAGTGAGTTCCAGGACAGGCTCCAAAGCTACACAGTGAAACCCTGCCTCGAAGAAAAAAAAAAAAAAGAAATGCAAAAAGAAATCTTCCTTTCTGTCTCAGCCTCCACAAAGCAATCAGGCCTATATCCAGCTCTCTAAAAGATAACATTTACATTTTTTAAATCCTGTGTCAGTAAGTCATGTGGCTAGGCACAATCACTAACAGAGAAAGTGCCTACCATTCATGAGGTTCTGCAGTTTGACCCCAGTGCCCCCTCCAAAAGTATCAAAAAAATGTAAGAGAGCTTAAAAATATTTTATCTACAAGACAGGTGTCTTGATGCAAATTTGTGAGTTCAGCACTTAGCAGGAAGAAGCAGGAAGATTAATGCAAACTACATAAGAGCATCTCAAAAAAAAAAAAAAAAAAAAAAACAACTTTTTTAATTACCTACTTATACAAATGCCCTAGGGCAAAATTATGTGTTATGAAATACAGCTTACACAGAACATACATGATTGAAGTATGATGGTGCATACCTGTAATCTGAATTGGGAGGATTATAAATCAGGGAGATCCTGCCCCGACCCCAAAAAGGGGAAGGGACTAAATCAACATAATGACTGAATGACAATACAGTAAATCCCTGCTACCTATACTCTCAAAGCAATAAAATTAATAATAAGCAGAGTACACTCTTTGAAACAATGTAAGATTAAAGTTTGACTCAACTAAGCATAAAATATTCCTGACAATTACAAATTCTGAAGTACCAAAAAAGTAACCTCTTACCCAGCCCAGCATCCCATACCTTATGTTCTACAATATGGAGACTGAAGAGGGCCTCAATTCTGAGACCAGTCTGTACTATATAAATGGGGGGGGTGACAACACACCATGTACACAACACAGGACACGACACAACACACATTCAATTCATAAAAGCCTACAGAACTAAGTGAACTAAAATTAATGAAAAGTCTGCCAGGTGGTGGTGGGGACATGCCTTTAATACCAGCACTCAGAAAGCAAAGGCAGGCAGATCTATACAAGCTGGTCTATACAGCAAGTTCCAGGACAGCCTTGACAATTTTTCAAAAAAAAAAAAAAAAAAAAAAGGAGGGAGGAAGGGAGGGAGGGAAGACACTTTGCATATAACAAGGAAGTAATGGCAAAAGTAGATCACTTAGATCACTCTGCATCAGGCCAGGCCCACACAGTCACATCATGCATCATTCAAGTTTGCCAGTCACTACCACAGTTTAAAGTTAGTCTCCTCCAGACTTAAATTGTAAAAACACTAGCAATCAGGACACTTAAATGTTGATCCAAACAAGGCTGTGTGGTTCTCACCTGTCAGAACTGTCTGTGCAATGAGGAAGACCTCCTGTAAACTAGAATGCAACTGTTCATTTACCATGTATATTATTACAGGCTAGCTCTGTTCTCATTCCCACTCCCATCCCCAGACTCAGCCAATGCTCTTCAGAGAGGAATGGCACCATCTTACCCAGATATAAGCCTCCAACAACCTATACAGCCCTGTGTGTGTCACACCTGTCTCATATCCACCTCTTAAACTATCACTTAACCACCATGTCCTTTGGGTTTAATCACACAGCATCATGGACAAAGCTCTCTCATCAACTTCTAAGGCATATAAATACATATTGAACACATGAATATCCAGCAATCGTATAAAAATAATAATATCCTGTTTAAAAAAAAAAAAAACTAAATGAAAAGTCATACCTTCCCACCATCACTGATTTGATCTGGTTCTTACTGAACATCAAGCCAATTATTCATCCATCCCATCATTAACTGTTGTTGTTTTCCCTCAAACTCAGTACACAATGGAAGAGACTGGTAAAGTGATATAAGATTAGATAAATTATGTTACTATTCCTAATTCATTACATACCACAAATACAAGCTATAGTAAAACAGGATCCTTGACCATCATGAAAGATCCTAAAACAGGAAAATAATGAAATACAAGCTTACTCAATTAAAACTGTTTCTTATGTGCACATGTAATATGCACACAAATAAACCAAGAGCTATCCTAAAAAGTTGGGTCATGTTTTGTCAACTCCTTTCTGATTTTTGTTTGTTTGTTTGTCTGTTTGTTTTGTCCTGGGACAGGGTTTCTCTGTATAGTCCTGGCTGTCCTGGAACTTACAGTTCAGGCTGGCCTTGAACTCACAGAGTGCTAGGATTAAAGGCGCGAGCCACCACAGCCCAGCAATAGCGCTAGTTCTAGAAAGCATCATAAACTATCACAAGCCTACACTGGGTTTCAATATTTTAATTATCCCATATCTGGCCAGGGAGATGGTTCAGAGGTAAAGGTGCTCATCACCATGCCTGACAACTGGAGTTTGATCCCTGGATCTCACACATAGAGAATCAACTCTTGGAAGTTGTTCCTTGACTTCCACAGGTGCCAGGGCTTGTACACAACACAGATTAATAAAAGCTTTTTTCTCATTTTCAACTTTTACCTTCCAGTTTCCAAGTCTTTTTGCCTAAATTAAAAATTTTTTACATAGATATCCACATCTTATTTAGTACTCTAAAAGCAGTCAGGTTATATTCAATTTTGAATGAAGACAATCCAACTGTAAAACACTTCCACATTAGCAATGACAGCCAGTTTTCCTAGATGCCACCACCTATGAGAGAGAGCAGAGGAGTAGCTCAACCCTTGCAAAATAAAACTAGACAGTATTTCGGGATTTTACTAAAGGCAATTCTATTTTTCTTCATACTTTTAAAGATACCACACACAAATTTCTTGCGCAAAAGGAAGAACGAAGCAACCAATGTGAGCAAAGATGTTGAACGCTAGTCAGGCAAACCCAGAAGGAGGAAAAAGGAACATTCGGTGGAGGAACATTCGGTGGCGCTCGGAAGCCTCGGAGCAGCTAGCTCTCCGCGAAAGGCTTCTCCAGCAGCCCAACTGGGAGGTGGCTGGAGAAGGCACATTTGAAATATCACTACCCCATCGATGCAGGCGCGAGCACCACGAGGGACCCGCCCGCGCACACGCCCACCGCCCGCTGCAGCAAGCGACCTGGGCGCAGCCGCAACACGCAAGTATCACTCGACCGGAGCAGAAAGTTTTGAATGAAATACCCAAGAGCCGAAGCGCACTGGTCTCGGAGCTGAAGTCGCGCTAGGAACGCACAGGAGGCCAAACCACTGGACAAGCTGGATGACCGACGCGGGACCCGGAGATGGCAGCGGCGGCAGAGCACTGGCTCCCTCAACCCAGGTGTCAGCGCGCCTCGCCTCTCCGTCGCTCCCCATCCGACCGAAGTAGGACAAGGACCGCGGTACTGATCGCGGGTGTGGCTCAGGCGCGCGAGACTCGGCGTCTAGTGCAGAGCCCAGAGACTCGCAGGCCGCTGGGCCAGGTCGCAGCTCCGGAACCCGCGGTCGCGCGCCCCTCCCCCACCCTTCCTCCCTCGCCGGGGCACTCAGAGCCGGCGCCGCATCCCAGGAGACCCACCGCCCGCGGCCGGGGACGGGGAAGCTCTGCCTGCGTGGTCGCAAGCAACCCTCGGCGGGGCGGAGTGGAGTCGGGACCGAGCGCCGCGCGGACTCACTTTTTCGGATGTTTCTCTCTTTTCGGCCTCCGCTTTCGGGCCTGAATGGCCAGCACTGAGGAGAGAGAAGACACATTAACGGTCCGGCCGGCCGCGAGGCAGGAAAGGGGCCGCGCGCGCCGCTCACCTTTCCTGGAGCTCATTCCGACTCGGGGCAGCCCGGCCGTGGGGGAGGGGGCGGGGAGGCAGACTCGGCGGCGCAGGCGGCGGCGACGCGACAACCAGCCGCACCGGGATGCAGCTTCCACTCGCTCGCCAGCCGGGCGGGAACCGCGCCTGCGCCGCCGTGACCGCTCCCGCGGAGGCCAATGGGACCCGCCCCCGCGGCCCCGCCCCGCGGCCCCGCCCCCTTCGTACCTACCGCGTACACGGGGTCGGGACTTGGCCGCGCCCCTTTGGGCACAGCGTCCGCTCCGCGGCCCACCTGTGTAAAAAGGCGGCTTCCAGCTCCCCGCTCCCCACCTCCCACTGTGTGTCTCCGCCGCCGCAGGCCACCTGCCCCTGAGCACCAGGCCCAGTGGTGCGACCCTTCTTCCCAGCCCCCGCCTCGCTCCGCACTCGGGCTGTTCGGGCTGCACGCCCCTCCGTGCGCCCTTCCTTGGCCTGCGCCTTCGCGGATCTCACACCACTTGTCTTCCCGGGGCCTCTTCTCTCCCTTTGAGCCTCTACAACCTTGCAGCTCCCTTTAAGCCTCTACAACCTTTCTCTGGCGAGCGTGGAAAGGCCACAAGACCAATAGCTGGAAAACCTGGGTGTATGACCTTGGAGAAGTTATTTCCTCTCTCCTTTTCCTACTCCCACAGGGCTGCGTGAGTTTAACGAAGGAAAAGATGTATATATCTTGAAAGGAAAGTTTGGCCCATGAAGCCCAGTTTTCTAAATACCATGAGATGAGAGCTTAAAACAAGAATCATGCTAAGCAGTTCTTTTTCTGCCTCCTACAGCGGGGAAGCTGAACCCGAAATAGGTCAAACAGTTCTACCAGATGGTTTCTCATTCCATCTTCCCTGGCTACCTAAGATGTGAATCAAGCTGACTGGCACATAGTTTTTAACTCAGTGTTCTCTGGTCTTTTTAGACAATTACAGTATCTTTGAAAAATACATACCCTGAGCATTCAGCCCTCCTTTGGTTACGGTTGTGTCCTTGAGTATTACTCAAAAAATGTCCCAACAAACAGGAAAGGCCACTTTCAGTTTGAAGAGATTGTACTTTTTCCAATTTTTATTGTAAAAAAAAAAAAAACAAACAGCCGAGCAGTGGTGGTGCACACCTTTAACCCCAGCACTCAGGAGGCAGATGCCCAGAGGCACGGGTGGATCTCTGTGAGTTCGAGGCCTGCCTGGTCTATATAGCACAAGTTCCAGGACAGGCTACAAAGCTACAAAGAGAACCCCTGTCTCAAAAAAAAAAAAAAAAAAAAAAAAAAAAAAACGAAACAAACAAAAAGATCAAACTTATGAGAAAATTGCAGTAACCAACACTATTAACCAACATTCGTTACTTTTTTTTTTAAAACATTTCTCTCCATCTGCTTCTAAGTGTGTGCATGGTTTATTTTGCAGAATCATTCTCGACCTCCAAACATTTCATTGCCTAATTACTAGGAACAAAGGTATTTTTCTACATAACCACAATGTTACAAGCCATTGTTCCAGTTTCTGAAATATTCCAATAAAATCTATGTAGTGACATTTTTCTAATCTAAGGTCATTAGTTACTACATTAGCAACTCTATTTTTTAGTTGTGTTTAGAATAATCCCTTGAGCCTGACCCAGGTTCATTTCCCAGATACCAGAAAAAGAAAAATCCCTGTTTGAGACTTTTTGACTGGGTTTCACAGTGTCTCCAAGGCTGACCTTCCATTTACAATGTAGTGATCTAACTACACATTTGGCTTCTCAAGTACAAGAAAGACAGGCATGAACCATAAACAGTGACTATTATGAAGACTAGTTCTGTTTTGCAGAATGCTCCTCAGTTTGGATTTTGTTTGCATAAGACTCCAGTCAAGTTCAATAATTTATCAAATGCACCATATGTATGGTGTGTGTCTGTCTCAGTCCATCAGGCCAAGATGTCAGTTTACTCCATTATGGATGACACATTCAATCATTTCTCCAGAAAAAAAAAAAAACTTTGTATTAAAAAGTAGTCTATATTTTACAAGTGGTAAGAGACTCAAAAAGACTTTCTTCAAAGACATGGAACTGGTCAACAAGTATCTAACAAGATGTTCAAAATCACTAGTTATTCTGGACATGCAAAACAAAATGAGATCCTACTTCACACTTGGCACAACTGCATTATTGAAAATGCATTATAGAAAATGCAAAGTCAAGCATAATGGTGCACACCTTCAATTGAAGCACTAAGGAGACTGAGTAGGAGTGTTGTGTTTACAGCCTAGGCCACATAGTACATACCAGGTCAGCCTCAACTTCAGAGCAGGAAAAGGGGGAGGGGAGCTAAGAATATAGCTTAGAGATAGAATGTTTATCATGGGGTCCTACCCAGGTTCACTTCCCAAATACCAGCAAAAGAAAAGAAAGAAAGATGGAGAGAAGAGGGAGGGAAGGAGAGGGAGGAAAGGAAGGAAGAAACAAGGAAGGAAGGAAAACAGACCTTAGTGAGTGGTCTGGAACTCTTGCATATTGGAAACCCTGACATCTTTGTGGGCTGCTGGTGAAACTACACAATGGTACAGTAACTATGGAAAAGTTTGTCAGTTTCTCAAAAACTAATCATAGAATTACCAACAATTCCATTCACAGGTACATTTTTCACAAGAGTTAAAAAACAGATGAATCTTTGACACAGGCCTATGAAACCAGCACTTGTGAGGCAAAAGAATTCAGGGCCTGCCTGGGTTCTAAACCAGCCAGGGCTACTTGACAATTTCCTGAATTAAAAACAAATCCATCAATCCTTGGGCAGGGAGGTTATTATCTACAGTAAAGCAACGACCAAAATATAAAAAGTGGTGGATGTGGTATCAAATCCCTATAATGCAAGCACTCAATAGGAAGAGGCAGGATAATGATCACAAGTTTCAAGCCAGGCAGAACTAAAAAGCAATACCCCAGGTAGAACTAAATAGCATTTAACTAGGCCTTGCTTACAGTTTGAGAGGGTTAGTCCATTATTGTTAGAGCCAAGAGCATGGCAGCACACTTGTAATAGGAACAGTAACTGAGAGATACATCCTTATCATCAGGAAGAGAGAGAGAGAAAGAGAGAGAGACTAGGCCTGGTATATGACAAAGGAACCTCATGCCACATGCTGCGAAAACCCACCCCAAGAGGTACATTTCCTCCTATACAACCTCCTAATGTTTCCAAAAAGTTCCACTCCCCAGTGGCTAAGCATTCAAATATGTGAGCCAATGGGGATCATTCTTATTCAAATAATCACAATGGGTTTGTAGACATATCAAAATGCAACAATGTATTCAGTCCTTTAAAAGTCGCCATAGTCTATCATGGTCTCATGATTAAATATCCAGGCTTCTGAAAGTCATGACAATCTCATAACCCTCTGCAAAATCAGAAGGAAAAAGAAAATTGCTTACTTCTAACATACAATGACACAGGTCATACATTACTATTCTAAAAGCAAGGAAAGGGACACATAGTGAGGAAATGCTGGACCAAAGCAAGACTGAAAATCAATGGGGCAACTCCAAACTGCATCTCCATGTCTGATGCCAAAGTACTGGAGATCTCTAACTCCTTTCAGCTTTGTTGACTGCAACCCACTTCTCTCTCTTGCACTGGCCCACATGTAGTCTATCTCTGTCTCCTTGGCAGGTATACCTGAACTCCAGCATCTCCAAAATCTTAGGGTCCCCATTAAAGTCTTGGCTTCTCCTTCGCTGCTTTACACAATGGCATTTTCAGGCCTCCTGAAATCTGTAGATAAATAAGCCTCCATGCAGGGGCTCTCTGTAGGGAGATAGTTCTGTGGCACTGACCACGCCCATTGGGGGTGGAGCCATGGGCGGAGTGACCTGTGTGTGGAAGGAGGTCGGAGGGGGCCAGGAAAGGCTCTCTCTGGCATGACTCAGACAGGAGAGGATCGGGTTGAATTTCCTGGTGTTCATCTGTCTAGGTTGTAAGTTATTTCTCCCTGAATAAACATCTATTCGGCCTATTTGTTTATCCTGATCCTTATTTACCGCGATATCTCTCCTGACATACATCTATAGCCTCAACAGCTTCCCTTAGCCCCAAATGGAGATTCCACAACCCCTTTTTTGTATCCTTGACTCTAAAGCCAGAACCATATGACCAAAAGTAACTAGATTAATCTGTTTACTGGAACCTGGCCCCCTTATACAATTATATTTACATCAGTTTTATGTTGATGACTTCATTCACTGCTTAAGTTTTTATTTTATTCCTTTTCACAAGTTGGAAACTTAGCTGCCTTGAGATCACCACTCCCTTTATTCCATTTAGCATCCGATTTTCTTTAAACTTATCTCCTTGAATACAGAATTTGGCTGCAATATCACCTTTCCTGGCCCTCCTTTTCTCTTCAAACTGTACATTTTCTATTTCCCTTTGTCCAGCTTATCTTTACATTATAGACCTGCATAAGAGTGACCATTAATACGAACATGATTGTTTTAATACTAAGCGTCTTGAAATCTCTTCTGCCAATGCCATTAATCCAAAACTCTTCAATTTAGCCTCAGACATGTTTTTAGGACAAGGGCAAAAAGCAGCCTTATCCTTTGCCAAAATATTACAAGAATGGTGTCTAGGCCACTTATTAATATTCTTTCCCTCTGAAACCTCTTGAACTGAGCTATTAAAATTTACATTGCTCTCAGTACTACTATCTTCCATGTTCCTACTAGAATAGCCCATTAAATCCTGATTAAGAGGTCTGTTACAAGTAAGGTTATTCCCCGCCACCAGTCCCACAGCCGCACCAGCCCCAAATAACACACAGAGATGCTGTATAGATATAATTTTGTTGGCCAGGTACTAGTTTCTTATCAGCTAGTTCTGTCTTAATTATTAACCCATGTTTATTAATCTAAGTGTTTCCACATGGTCTCATCTAACCAAAGAGTGGGCCCGGACCTCTGTTCTCCCCAGTCTCTCCATGCTGACCATCCATACTACTTCCTCTAATTCTCCTTGTCTCCTAGTCCCACCTATCTTGCTTTCCTATTGGCCAACAGTGCTTTATTCATTAACCAGTATGAGAAACATATTTACAGAATGACATCT